CTGTCGGGGTCCGGGAGGCAGAGAGGGACACGCGTCTCCTCGGGCTGGTGTCCCTGGTGGCGTCTGTCGGGGTCCGGGAGGCAGAGAGGGACACGTGTCTCCTCGGGCTGGTGTCCCTGGTGTTGTCTGTCGGGATCCGGGAAGCAGAGAGGGACACCCGTCTCCTTAGGCTGGTGTCCCTGGTCTGTGTGCTACCTTCTCTCACCTCTCACAGCCTTTTCATGCTGGACATTCAACGCACACAGTGGAGCTGGTCTTGGAGGAGGAGAGAGAAATGCACTTGTCATCTTGTCTAGAAGGAAAGTCCTGTGATCAGGTTTTACGGCTGACACACAGGAAATGACTCACTTGTTACAGGTGTGCCTGGCTCACCTGCACCATCCTGTGCCACCGGCTCCTGTGAAGGAGCTGCTCTAACATCTTCCTGAGAGTCAGGCCCACGTGTCCAGGAGGGTGAAAGGTCGGATTTTCATCAGTGGGTTGAAGCAGGTACACAGAGGGACCAGGGTCACAACAGGCGCAACTCTGCTGAGCCCTGTCCGGATGCCCCCAGCTTCCTGGAGGGGGCAAGTGTGCACCTCGCTGGAGTAAGGGCCGAGTCCTGACCAGTGGGTCAGGAGAGTGGGGGAGCAATTCTCTGGGGGTTTGGTTTTTTGACAGCTTTGATTTGTTAACAATAGACGTCACGGTAATAGATACTGAAATAGAAATTTTTAAAAATTTATTTAGTGCTTGCTTTGGTAGCACATATACTAAAAAATTGGAAAGATGCAGAGAAGATGAGCATGGCCCCTGAACAAGGGTGACACACAAATTTGTGAAACGTTCCATATTTTTTAATAAAGTATTGCAAGAATGGAAATATAAATATCCAATGTACTTCATACTGATATGAAACCAATATATAAACAATTATGAACAATAAAACACAAATATAGTCTAGTACGGGGGTAGAGGGAGGTGGTGGGGAGACGAATGGCAGAGGGAAGGACCTCACCTAATGTGCATATACTGAGGTGTATGGCATGCCCCCTGGGGGAGGGGCTCTTTTACAACTGGAACTTTACCCTGGGAATGTGAACAATGTAACCTAAAAGTTTGTACCCTCATATTAACTTGAAATAAAAAAAAATTTTTAAAGATTCTGTAATATAGAATTATGTAGTTTAAGTAGTCAATGTTTGTTTTACTGTATGGATTTAGTGATCTATTAAAAAATTAAAAATTGGCTCAGTACCTATGGCTCAAGTGGCTAAGGCACCAGCCATATACACCTAAGGTGGTGGGTTCAAATCCAGCCTGGGCCTGCCAAACAACAATGATGGCTGCAACCAAAAAATAGCCAGACGCTGTGGTGGGCACCTGTAGTCCCAGCTACTTGGGAGGCTGAGGCAGGAAACTCGCTTGAGCCCAGGAGTTGGAGGTTGCTGTGAGCTGTGGTGCCACGGCACTCTACCCAGGGGGACAACTTGAGGCTCTGTCTCAAAAAAAAAAAAAAAATAATTAAAAATTAAAATTTATTTAATCAACCCAGTAAGTATAAACATAAAAATTTTTGTTAAAAGTGGTATTTTCCAAACCAAAACAAACCCCATAAAACCTTGAGCAGTCTTGGTTCATAGCTTTACTAACCTCTGGCTTTCAGATGTCAGGAGATTCACTTTCTGGTCAGAGTATAATGAAGATAATTCTGCTTCACTCAGACACATAGTTGGAAAGGGGGGCGTTTTCTAAAGGATATTCCTCTTCAATACTGAGCCAAAAGGTGTCAAGTAGTAGTTTCTTTAAGGTTGATCACAAGATGGAATCATGGTTATGCCCTGATTAACAACGAAGATGCGTTCTGAGGGTGACTCGCTCCAGAAGCTGCAGCCTCCTGCACACCTGGGCCTTGTGGCGTGGACATTGGTCCCTCACTCCTGGGCTGGGAACTTGTGCTTCATGTTGCTATAATGAGTGTTGTGAGCAGTTGCAACACAATAGCAAGTATTTGTGCACCTAAACAGTAGAGAAGGTGCGGTAAAAATGTAGCATAAAAGATAAAATGTGCAGGCGGCTCCTGTGGCTCAGTGAGTGGGGCACTGGCCCTATACACCAAGGGGCCGTCACCGGTATATGGTGACGTCACCATCAAACCTGGCCCTGGCCACCTGCAACAAAAAATAGCCAGGCGTTGTGGCGGGCGCTTGTAGTTGCAGCTACTCGGGAGCCTGAGGCAAGAGAATCGCCTAAGCCCAGGAGTTGGAGGTTGCTGTGAGCAGTGATGCCACAGCACTCTAACGAGGGCAATAAAATGAGACACAGTCTCTTAAAAAAAAAAAAAATAAAAATGTGAACCCCTCTAGGGTGCTTACCCTGAATGGAGCTGCTGGACTAGAAGCTGGCCTGGGTGAGGCAGTAAGTGTCATGGCTCAGTCGCTGCTGGACTAGAAGCTGGCCTGGTGGAGGCGGTGAGTGTGGTGGCTCAGTCGCTGCTGGACTAGAAGCTGGCCTGGGGGAGGCGGTGAG